CATGAACGTGAAACTTATTTCTTAAACGTCCATTAAATTAACCTTCGCGATAATTGTTACATTACTTCGGATTATGCTTTTTAATTAATTCTGTTTCTATAAAGGCAGACGACGTAGGAATTCTTATCGTGTAAATTCTGAATTGATGATTCATTAATAACTTTGATATTGCATCAGGAAGATATATTACATTATGCAATAATCAAATATTTTTAGTATATAATTAATATTGTAACAATTTTATTACTGAGAAATTATGTTTGATACTTTAGGTGATATCAATAAATCGATTTACCCTTTATTAGGCAACTATCGAGGTTATAAAATACAATAATCAAATTTGTATGTTTGTTAATTTTTTATTTATATGAATAATAATATGAAGAATTGAATATATAATATTTCATGGTATAATGGCTTTTCCGAAATCCGTCGCTAATATTCGCCACTATTGACGCTGCAGTTAATCGGAATATCTCGGTAAACGTCGTCCATCGCGACTAAATGTGGCACTAAGGAGTACTCCAGTCATGCGTCGCGGGGTTAAGGAAAGGGCGTGCTGTCCGCATTGATTTACGCCGAGGAGGAGTAAGCGAGAGAACGAGAGGAGAGTCGCGGAGGTTGTGGCGCGGGGTTGCGAGACGGAAGCGGGAACGGGGTGGCATCGCAGAGAGGAAGGCCAGAGAGAGAGAGAGAGAGAGAGAGAGAGAGAGAGAGAGGGAGAGAGATCGGAAGGATCACCGTAGTTGTAGAATCCGAAGCCACGTGATCGGAATAGTCGATTCCGTCCTCCACCTTTCGGCCCTCCGGAGGAACCTTTCCTCCCACGTCCATCCTGCGATTTCAGTTCTGCAACCCCTGTTTCTCTCTCTCTCTCTCTCTCTCTCTTTCCACTGCTATTCGTCTCCACCACCCACACCCAGTCGCGTGGATACGTGGTCGAACCGCCGCGAGGACACCGTATAATTATCGGATGGCAGGTAACTCGAACGCTCTCGCCCGGTTTTAATTGGCCAATTATCGTGGCGCGAATAGATGGTGCCGCCGGTCCAGATAGGCGTGAAACTTTTGGGGTGGCCTGCTCACCGAGCGACACAACGCGACTTTCTGTGACGAATATCTCTTGGCAGGAGGGTGCCAACGCGCGCGCGGATCGGGGGATCCATCAGGGAGAGGGCGCGGGGATGAGGAAGAGTGGGCGGTAGGGAAGGGACAGGGGATGTATGGGTATCGAGAAGGGAAGATCGAGGGGGTCGTACATCGATATGTACGTGTGCGAACAGTACCTGTATACGTGTATTCGTGTGCGGCGGATAGAATCGGGATCAGAATCGGGAGCACGAACGGGCGCAAATTGGTCACGGCTGGTCTGTCCGATCTCTGTGCCACCCTCCTCCTCATTCCTCACCCCGCTTGGCCGCTCGATCGCTCTATCAACCCCTCCTCCCCCCTCACCGTTGCATCCTGCCGTCGTGCTCCATGTCTATCTCGCCAACTAGCTAACCTCCCGACTCGCGTACCGTTTCGGAACTATTAGGGATCCCCGCCTAAATCCACATCACTTTGGCAGGTGGAGTAATCCACCGGCTCCAGTGTTCACCTGTGCCATAATGACACGAGGGATGCGCTCCAGCACGCTCAATGATCAACAATAGGCTCGCGCTACGATCCTCATCAGGGGTGCGTACGCGAGATTATTCGTAACGAGTTTTTTTTTTATACATTATTACACTTAATCGTTTCTCGGAGACGAGCAATGCGCTTAGAATACTTGGATCGCGTGCATTGATGTACGTTATATTAACGTCCTGAATTATTAACTAAGTTTTAGCGTACTACAAATCGGGTAGCAAACATTGCATGCATACGGAATGCACCGTAAATGACCTCGATCCATCGTACGTGACGCTTACCAAGTAGGTACATTAATTTTTTATCTCTTGCGATAATTAAAATATTGATTCGCAAAATGGAACACAGAAGGTACATTAAATTTTTGTAAAAATTTACAATATCTTTATCGTAAAAATTGGGAAAAATAAGGCTCATTTATTTTTGCGTTAATTGTGAGACTCATTAGATAGTTTTCTCAATCGTTATTTTGTAATGAGAATATTAGTACAAATTATGACTCGCTACAGCTTGAGGAAAAGGGACATATTGCAAACAAAGATTAGTGTCGCGACCGACGTTGACTAAATCGTCCCTAAGTGACGTGAGTGAAACCGCGCTCATTTGTCCGCGGATAATTGACATTAAGTTTAGAATGACGTTTTCAAAAACCGACGACGTTGTGAAAGCGATATTTTTGTAGACAGAGACGTGCGGTGAATAATTACGTTCGTCCGTTTATGTGACAAGATGGAATGAGGAGAGCGTATTTCTACCTTTTTCTGAAGTCGAGAACGCAAAGGGTGTTCCAAAATTGTCTCCGGTTTTTTCAGCAGCGTATTTTTCCATTAATTCGGAGCCACCAGTGAATAGCTTGACAAGTTAATACGCTCGGAGGAATAATGCTTCAAGCACGCAAATGAGAAAAGCAGCGACTCTTTAAATTTTACTTTAATGGAATCATTAGAGAATAATTTATAAAAATATTTAATATTAAAGCACTGAGAAAGGGACGATCAAAATTTTCTTAAAAAGAATATTATACTTCAAATATGCTCGGAGAATGTATAAATGAAAAGAACAGCGACCCTTCTAGAGTGCCCGTACGCGCGGTACAAGCTGTGATATGTATATAATGTATGCGGTTAACAAAATGGTTAGACTTGATGAATAAAAGGTCTATTATCGCATTAACTACGGCACCCGCGATAATTAGTTTTCGCTGAACATGATAACACCACGATACCTTCTCGCGCGGCTCAACTACCGCGCCGTTACTTCACTCGAGCGCTAACCAAATAATGAGACGGTACAATTGAGAATTAGTCGAGGCACGCTTAATCCAATTTGTCATTCAACGTGATCGCTGTCATAGTCATAATTTTGCAAAACGAAATATTCGCGTTCGCAAACGTGTGTGTGTGTGTGTGTGTGTGTGTGTGTGCTACGTGAGTACCATCTATAAAACTATTCCAAGCTCAATCGCATTTTCAATGTCGCGCGAACAAAGTGCGGTCGCGCATGAAACGCTTAGAGCTCGCTACATTATATTGGTCGACCATTTATCATCGAATGCAGCACCGGAACAATACAACGGCAATCATTAAAACTGTCAAAACGCTCCACTGCCACAATCTTTTGGCAAAGCGTATGTATCTTTCCAATCTCGCCAATTTCCTGGAAAGAATCGATCACCGTGACAATAACAGTGTTAGTCTCATCGAACAATTGGTCTCGAGATAATTCAATGATGATCGAGTGATCGACGGAGTGACGCCGCAGAGCAAACGATGATAAAAGACAAGAGACACAGAGAGAGAGAGAGAGAGAGAGAGAGAGAGAAGAAATTAGAGAGAAACAAGAAGAGCTGAAGATCACGAGAGCGAATTGACGAAGCGAGAGAGGGAGATCGGTATTGCAGACACATCCGCTGGTTACGTTCGATTGGCTCGCAGGGCGGTAGGCCAGCAATTACCTAAATGGTCGGGTAAACAATATCCGTGCACCGAGTTAAGAGCAGAGCGGTAGCGGCACCAAGCTCTCACATCAGTCCGTCCGTTCGTCGGTCGTTTGGTCGTTGTGTGTTGGTCCTGATTTGATCGCTAGTACCATCCACAACCCGCTCCCCGCGTTCGTAAAAGGATAGAGAAAGAGAGAGAGAGAGAGAGAGAGAGAGAGAGAGAGAGAGGGGGAGGGTAGAGGGGGAGGAAAAGAGAGGGAGATACCTGCGCTCCGTGTACCACGATTATACTCTCCACCCTATACACAGAGAGATCGCTATACACAACCGTTGAAGAGAGGCCGCGATGCGCCGCCCCCACCGCCGACAACACACCGATGATCATCGCCAAACCCACCGAGCGTTTTGCGAACGCGTAATGCACGCGGCGAGCACGCAATTCCTCCACACGTTTTGCCTTCCTTCCTTTCCAAGCGCAACGAATGATGCCCCGACGTCGCTCGCGTGGGTACGGAGGGAAAAGGTGTTCCTTCATCGGCGCCGCTCGACGGAGTCGCTGTGGTGGTTAAATCAAAGACAAACCACTTTAGAAAGAGAGAGAGAGAGAGAGAGAGAGCAGTCCGATCGCGGAAAGGGGCGGAGAGACGCGAAAAGGGAACGAGAAGGGAACGAGGGGATGATAGAAGTGGTACCTGTGTGTACACAGCCGAGTATCTGACGAAAGCTCACCGCGAGACGTCTGCACGCGACTCGTCCGCGTGTTCGTGCCTCGTCCATTCAGCGCCGCGATGCGCTCATGTACATTAACCATTTTGATGTGGGTGTTGTACGTGTAAGTGTGTGCAACGATGCGCACGCGACCAATACATAGGCACGCCGGCCTTCGCGGTGCGATTCTCGGTTACGAGCGTGTTAAAGCACGTGTGTGCGCGCAACCCCTAGCGGAATACCGTCCGGCACGCCCATTGGCGGCTGACGGTAGCTTTTCGAGTAGTACGAGCGGGGTTAACCACGCCCTGTCGAGGCGGAACAAACCCCCGCTTTCGCCGTTCCACTTGGCCGTTCCACGGGCCACGGTGC